CCCGAAACCCTGATCCTCAACACCTTAGGATTGAAGCTGCGAACTCCGCAACCTGAAGCCTTGAATGCCTGAATCCGAAAAATCCAGAAGCTCCCAGTCACTGAGGCCTAAATCCGCACAACATCGCACAACAAAATGCTCAAGGCGTGCTCTAGTCTAAAGCCCCAAACTCCAAAACCGTCGAATCCTGCAGCCCAAAACGCGCAAACAGAAACAACCTCTAGTGAGACCCTGCGCATGCCCCGCGCCCTATGGCCCTAACACACCTCGGCCAAAACCTCCCAAGTTCCCCGTTTTGGGGAGCTTCGACGCTGGGCCCTGGGCCTCAGCCACCTTTCGGATCCTGTCTTGGCGCTGCTGGTTCAGCTCTACCTGTTGGCCGAAGCACTTCGGAAGTGGCACATGGATGCACAGTTCGCGGCCCATGTGCCCAAGCTCGGAGCTTGATTTCGATAGTGGTTGTGCCTCAGCAGGGGCTTGAGGGACAACTTTGGGCTCAGTACTGGCACACGGACGGCTATCTGTCCTCAGTTGCAGGCCCATCCTCCTCACGATGCAGCGTGCATGCCACCTCAGCGTCCACAGCAAAGCCAACCATGTCTGACTCCGTGCTGAAGATGCAAGTTCGCATGCTCTCTAAGTCGTATCACCTGGACTCCTAAGCCTATGCTCTCCCGAAACTCATTGGGCTGACCTTCCTCATGCCGACAGCACTGTGCCCGATTTGACAGCACTGTGGTCCCTCGCGGCGCGAATCTCGCGGTTTGCAGCCATGGCGGTGTCATGCGCCTGGCGCTCCTGGTGCTGTTGCAGGCGCTTCTCGTCATACTAAATGCAGAAGGACGCAATTGTGGTTGTAGCGGTAGCGCCCAGGTTGTAGGAGTGACATCGCTTGAGGAAATTCAAAACACAGTGGAACTGTGGTTTGTGGTATGTCGAGCTTTGCCTGCAGCTTCATGTGTCAAGAGCACACCCCACTCTGGCAGCTGGCATGCTCCTGTTGTAGATATTACGCGGAGCGTGCTTCGTGCACGATTAGGTATGCCACGGTGTTTCGATAGAACAAATTACATAGCTTGCTCTCCTGACGCTCCATGCAGCTGTCAGC